TGGGATGCAGATTGAGGACCAATTTCAGGCTCTCAGAGCACCTTGGGAGGAAGAGGTGTTTCCTGAATGAAAGAAGAGCGATGTTACCAGTTGTCCACAGTGAAAACAACCATTCATGAACAATTCCTAGCACCATGGGTGGTGCACAGCTGTATTGCGGGGTGCCTGTATGCATATCTCCAGATGTTGATCACCCAGATGCAGCCACAGTGGAGGAGACTTGGTTGACAGCTGCTACCAGCCATGAAAAGTGCTGGCCAGATAGGTCCATCTGGGACATGCTGTTCCATTACAAAATTCCTGCTATCCAGACCTGTGTGGGTTTATCTTAGCAAGACCTTACAACATTTACTTGCATCCTCCTGCCTGCTGTAGGCTTCACACACATGCCCTAAGTCAATGTTGTGTGACTTGTGTAAGTCAGACTTGTGAATATGTCAAGCTAGCCAAGAGAACATGGTTCTTTTCTCTGCTCCAAGGACTGAAACATGCCTTTGTTTATCTTCTTTACATTCTCAGCAGCTGACGCTGCAAGTGTGGGCTGCAGGACAGGTGTGTAGTACCAAGAGCACCAGTCCTCATGCCTCCTTATCCAGGTATTAGGAGGGGAGAAAAGTGTGCAGTGAAAATATACAGTGAAGAAAGAAGCAGTGACTATAAGAAGTATATACATAGTGATATTTAATAGTTTATAGAGACTGTAAAATATGATAGTTCAACCATGGTAATAGCAGATACAATTATGTGACTAACTATATTAATCTTAGCAGATAACTCTAATAATCTTAGCACCATACTACCATGGTAAATATTAGTAGCATAATATTATGGTTATTGTGCTATGGTTAACCCAATCTGCTAAGGTCAGCAAGACAACTCTGTTAGTCTTTTGAATCCCCATCCAGAGTATGGGAGTCCCAGGGGCATTCTGCCTGGCATGTCAATGGGAAAGATGTTCATCTTGGCAGCAGTTTATTCTCAGACTCCAGGATCCTCTGCGCTGATAATCTTCTGCTGGTCCCACCAGCAGGTCTTTGAGTTGTCTTTGTATCCCCCACAAAACTCCTTCTGCATTTCCTTATCTTCTCCAGATAAATCTCTTGTTCCTAAGGAGTCAGTTCCAAATCTGATCCAAAGATAACCACTCACTTGCACCTTGATTGCAGCTGTCTTACTGGAGAGTCTGTTCCACAACTGACCCAGACATAAGCAGTTACTTCTGCAAGTGTCTTAACTGTGATGTTACTGCTTTATTCATTCTGTGGTCTAGATATTTTCTAGATAGATATGTTCATTTTTAGTAAGCAATGGTTAACTTGCCATAAGATATGGTAACTATATTTGTGGTGGGTTGACATTTTTGCTGCAGGCCCACCTTGGCTCAACAGTCCCCCTATTCCTTGACAGCCTTACTGCTATTAGAGTTAGATCGAATTTCCAGCAGGTCTCTGGTTCATGCACTTACTTTGGCTTTCTGTGGAAAGCAGAAGGAATAGGGAAAGGAAAGAGATGGGGAGGAAGTTGATGGCAGCATTGTTAGTCTGGTCTTTTCCTGGCATACAGTCAGTGAGTGTGGGGTAAAACAAGAGCCATGGTATTTTTTCCTACTCTTTCCATCTGATGACTGAGGACTCCAGCCCACCAGTGTTCAGCAACATATGACACAGTGAAAACAATCCTTATGTGACAGCATAGTAATGACTTTAGAAGCAGCAACGTGGTTCACTAAAATGTTTCACTGTCTTGCTGGATTAGGTCCATAATGCTACATTATTAACTATATGGTGGCATGAGTGATGGCCAAGCAGATAATGATACAAATACAGCCTCTGATATTAAATTTTGGGGGGTTGGACCTTGAAAAAAAATGAAATTGTTCTCATCCTTCAAATTTTTTTGAGATAATGCAATATTTCCCATCCTCAGGAAAGGCAGACCACCAAAATAATTCATTATTTTTAGTTATATTTTTTAAAATTATTTGTTGACATCACCTAAAAGATTTCATGTGAAGAAACTAAGATGCTTTTTAAAAATTTTGCTCATGTTAAGACTTTCCTTTCTATAATTTGATTTCCTCTGAAACAATTTCAAACCTGAAAAATGCCATTTTATTCACCTATGAATCATCACAGCATTACATTTTGATTAATGTAATGCATTACAAAATACCACCAAGCTTAAATGATAACACTGAATACTCAAAATTGATCCTTTCTTATAAAAATTGCTTTTGATGCAATATCATCTTTCTCCAAAAGAAGAATACTTTTGTCCAAAATAAATTTGTATTTGGGTGTTAAATACGTACTAGGGAAAAATTGCTTGTTTCTACATGTTGTAGCTTCACTACAGGTAGGACCCAAGAAAAACAAATTTCTGTACTTGGCATTTGTGCTAGTAAGCTGGAACAATAGAAGCTGTTTTTTCTTAATGCCCTTTTACAGTGAAAAATCTCTTTCCAGGCCTTGTATTGCCCCGTTCTGCAGCTGCCCCATAAGACTGGCCATATCTTGTAAGAGCTGAGGTCTGTCTAGCACTGTGTAGTTCTCTGAAGGTAATCAGTAGAGGCTTCCTAAGGAAATGTGTCAGCACAGGCTGACAAGTACAGTGCTAATTCCTTCATATAACCTTTGAGCTTCCCTCTGTCCTAGCACACAGTAGCACTTGAATGGTTGGTTTTGTTCCACAGTTGCCTGTGCCCTGGATGTTTGTTCAACAAGTTCATTAGTTAGAGAATTAGCTGATACTTGTTTTGAGTTGGAGGATTTGAAAGCATGCAGGGGACTTGTGTGTTGCTATGATTTGTGTTGTCTCCACTACTGCTCTTCTCCTCTAGCTGGCAAAGGAAGATAAAGTCTGTAGATGAATTACACTGGGAATCACCTAGAGATGTCTACCTGTGACTTGAAAGGGAGAGTGAGCATCAGCCAGCCATACAGACTGTCCACAGCCTAGCAGTGTATGTCATTCTGTCTGCAGTGGTTGCTGGTCCTGTGTTGGATCTTCTTCATGGAGTTCAGCCTTGTAACTACAAGTTGATCAAGTGCTTCCTTTGCCTCAGATGTGAATGGAGACATCATTTGTCTTGAACATCTCTCCCATGAAATCTGGTGTGACTGGCAGCCACTAGGTATAAAAATCATAAGACAAATGTCCTTAATGAACATTTTGACTTGGAAGGATTGATTTAGAGAACTAAGGTTTTTTGAAGGTACTGGTTTCAACCTTGCAGGCTGTCATCCTAAATCTTAATGGTGATGGAGAAAGGAAGCAAAAATATTGCCTTTGCTCAGAAATGTTTAGGAGTTTCTTGTCAAAGAAAGAGCCCTTTGAAATCAGAAAGTCATGACAGCAGCAATGCATTTTTTGCTTTACTGGTAAACAATTTGGTCTAGTCTTAATGGAAAAAATGAAAAGAGAAAATAATGAAAAGAGCATCTACTTCATGTCTATTCAGCAGTACCGTACTATTGATACTAGAAAATACCGAGTACTTTGTACCAAAATAATTCTTTGAAGTTTTTGAAATCATTTCGAATTTTCTTTTCGAAGTTATTTTCAAGCTTATTCATGCAAAATGTTTTGCTGGCCTTTGCATGGGTTTAGGTTAGTTACTTTATGGTTCTGATGTATTGAGAGCAATTTTAATTCCGTTTGGCTCTTTAATTAAAATTTAGGCATAAATAAAGGAATGGCTTTTAAAGAGCAATAATTTTGAAGTTGACAGCTGCTACAGCAAACCTGAATGCTTTTCCTCTTCCTCACAAAGGCCAAATGCCTCCCTAATGTAAGTAAAGTAAAATGATTGTAAGTAATAAAGAGGGTAGCTTGCAGGTATCCTTGTTGCTGTAGATTTGCATGTGACAGTTTGAGTTCTTTTTTTTAATCGTGTATCACCATAACCTCCAAAATTTCTGTGCAAACTCTTATGGAAATAGCAGCAACACATGAGAAGTACTGAAATGTATGAAGGCTGAGGAGTGATGAGGGTTGGTAAGGCAGAAATTGTTTTCCTTGGACATGCTCTCAAACTAGCAGTTGGAAAGAAAGTTCTAGTCACTGTGGGAGCTGAGATACTACAGCACTTCTCCCCCTAGCCTGATTCACTCAGATATATCTTTACCCCTCTATTAAATCTAGCATTTTGAATATAAAATTGTAAAATGAGATTCTGGTTACTCATGTAAGTTCTTAGTGGCATACCTTTAATTCTCAATGGGAGTAGCAAATTTCAGGTATCCATTCTACTCACAGGCTTAAGGATGTTTCTTTTCAGACGGTATGAGTCAGCTTTACCTTCAGAAGTGCAGAGTTCAGTGTGCAAATACAGACAGAGTTTCTCAGGAAGGTTTATTTTCACTAAGAGATCTTTCTTATAGAGAATATAAGAGATTATAAGAGATCACTTATAACAAGAGAACAGGGATGAAGTTGTGTAGGATATCTCCCACATGAGAATATGTGTCATTTTAGAACTGTGTCATTTTCACTGTAGTCTGCCTGTCTCTCCTGTCCTGTTTGCTTTCCTTTGCTGATAATTGTTTTTTTCCTGAAGTTTTGCCACATCCATAAACCTTTACTTTAAAATGCTGCTGATGGAATTTCAAAGTCATTGCAGGTGACAGACTTGAACATCAGACTTGTTAACAGAAAAGAGGCGGATCAACACCAGAATACCACCCCAAAACTTTACTAACACAGAGCTTGTATTGTCTTTGTTAGGCCCACAGCTATATAGTTCCAAATTCTCTCCCATGCTTGTTTCTGAGTGATCTGAACATCTGACCAATTTGTCTTGTAAGACCTGTCAATCCACTGGGCTGTACTTAGTGGGAAGTTGTTAGGATTGATAATTTCAGTATCCGTGTAAAAGAGCAAAAGCAGAATATTAACAGTGATGTTCATATTGCAGAATATGAGGCACCATGTGTGATGGCTGGCTTCAGCAGTCATCCTGTTCAGTGGGTGACTGACAATGTGTTATCTCTCCCCTGCAGTATGGGATAAAGAAGAAGGAAGAAAAGGAAGCAGAGGCCCAGGCCGCACTGGAAGCTAATGCTGAAGGGAGTCTGACGCGCCCAAAGAAGGCAATCCCTCCTGGCTGTGGGGATGAAGAGGAGGAGGAAGAAGAGAGCATTCTAGACACAGTCATCAAATACTTACCAGGGCCTCTGCAGGACATGTTCAAGAAGTAATAGCTGCAGACTGTTAGATGGGCATAAACAGTACTGCAAAGGATTTCTCTTTTGCCCAACGGGGATTTACAATCTTGCCATCCATCACGCAGCCCTCCCCACCTCTGCCCTCTACTGGTCACTAGGAGTCCCTTCGCTTCCCATTCCCTTCTGACTGCCTCTTTCCCTTCCCTCCACCCAAAGACTCATCCATTCCTTTTTTGTACATAGTCACATCCAGTAGATGCCTCTGAATTGATGTAAAGATTAAAAAGCTGCAGACTACACAACTTTTATTATAAGCCATAGTACTATGTATGTTAAATAAGGTAACTGTACATTAAGCATAGAAAAGGAACAATCTCACATGCATTTCCATCCAAAGCAGGAAGGAGTGCTCACTAAGTGTGAACAGTGGCCTCTTTAATTTCCTTTATTTCTCTTTTTATTATTATTGATAATAATTATTAGTCATTATTATTAAAGTTCTTGTTGATTGCCTCACAGTAGCCATTTGTTGTTGAGCACATCTGCCCTTGGAAGGGATATCTCAGTTTTCCCATGGAAGCAGAGCTTTTCTGTTTTAATTCCATCACTGGCATAAATAAGAGATCATTTTGAAGGTAAATCACGCAGGACTTACACAGCTGACATCACTCAGAACTGTGGAAGAAGTGAGTCATCTGCCCTCAGGTGCTGGTAGAAGTTAAATGCCTCAGAATCTAAGCAAGAGTCATGTTACTTTGGGAATTAGCCATACACTTGAAAGAGCAGATTTGGTCAGACAGTTGCCATTCAGCTAGCTGAAACCACAGGAGAGCGCATGATGCTCTGGCAGAGGACTTCCCCAACCCCTTTGAAGCCAGTGACTAACTACATAGGCCACTCTGATTAACTAACCTTCCTCTTTGTGCCCAGTGCCATATTCAACTGTCCCATTCCCAGCAGTGCTTGCAGGATGGACATTTGGGTTCCAGTATATTGTTGCAGCTGTGTCCTGCCCATCCCTTCCTGCAGTGTGTGGGAGAGTGTGGTGGCCTGTATGTTAGCCATGGCCCTGGGGATCCAGAAATCTTGAGTATGCCTGCTATGTAAATTACTGTGTTGCCTTGGGGAGGTCACTTATTTTTCTGCCCCACCCAGCTTCTTCAGCTGTAAAAGTTAGGTTTCAGTCTCTACATACTATAAAAGCATAAAGTGAAGATGCTTCTCCAGTGCTGTGCAGGAGCTAATTAATGTAACAATGTGTGGCATCCCTTGATGCTAGTAGGGTGGGAGGATCTCTCTCTCTCTCTCTTTCTCTCTCTCTCACCATTATCTTTGTTGCCTTTCCCAGACACAGATACAGAGAGCTTCTTAGTAAAGCACTGTAGCTATTGAGTAACTGCATAAGATAAGCCAAATTATACTGGAGATGTTGACTTGCTAGTACATACACAGACTCACATACATAGACAGACTTACTCTGAACACAGACCCTCATGATCAGGTATCTGGCTTGTCATCTGAAGAGCTGGTCCTGGAGTTTTTGCATTTGGCTAGGTCTCTGTGGTCACTGCTGTGAGAGCATCATGCCACCTCAGTCTCACAATCTTGTAAAAGAATCAGGGTTTGTCTGGCAGACCTAGCATTGCTTGTTCCTGTCTTGGGAACAACAAAAGTTTCCTAAGTACATGGAAGAGATTTGGAAGCGAATACACACTTTCTGCTGACAACAAAAATGAAAGCAATCTGAGATACTTCATTATTTACCTAAAATAAGCATTTTACTTCAATGGAACTTCTTTGATGCACTTGTTCAGTGGAACTGAGTACTTTCCTGAATAAGAAATTTTAGAAGATATTTATCATCTTTTCAGGTAAGCAGAAGAAATCTGCACCATGATTAAGGCAGTGAGCTTGTGAACTCTGTGCCTTTTAGCAGCATCTCTCATAATAGGGGAAAAAATATTAAGAAAGAGAAGAAACATATTTATTTTGCCCTCGTCACACAATTCAGGTATGCTAGTACTTGCTTCTTCACAAATACCTTCAACCATACGTTTCTACCAAATCCAAGGTGGAGACTGAGGAATTTTGACTGATCTATAAGTCAGAACCAGCTGATAAAGATGCAACTTATTTCAGGTTGGATCTACAAACAAAACATGTTCATTCAAGTACAGGCTGCCAAGGGCTTCCCAGAGGAAAGAAAAGGCAGGTTTTACTCTTTCGGATAATATCAGTAGGTTTTTGCCCTAACTTTCATTTAAAGCAAGATGAGTGTCTCCCACCTCGGACTTTAATGACCCAGAGTACTCTTTATTTCTGAAGCAATGCTTGGGTATAGCATAGCAGTGTTGACTAATTTATCATTTTCTACGGAGAGTGTCCTACTCACCCCATGCGAATTCAGCAATTAGTAATTTAAGCCTATTTAAATAAACCTCAAAGAACTGAAAACTCTCCTTCTGTCACAAAGGCAATGCTCTGTCACAGAGGGAACTAAATCCAACATCCCTGAAAGCTAAAAGGCAGAGGCTGGCTCTTTGCTTCAGCCACTCATTGGTAGTGAATCTTCTAGCCCAGATCACACTGACACACTGACATATATACTTTTGAAATGCTCTGATTTATCTCTGTGGCCTGCACCCCCTAATACATAAGTAGAACCAGCAGAAATGTGCCCTTGCTAAATGGAACACATCCATTCATATTTTCCCCTGGCCTTGTGCTGGAGAACTCTGCAAACAAACAAAGAGGATGAGCTCATTCTGCTTTGCTTTGGCCATTCTCTACCACTTTTTGACCTTTCCCTTGGTCCCATCATGGACTCACTTCCTCATCTAGCCAAATAGCATTCCTGATATAGCATCAGAATTTTCTGCCTGGTGTCCTCCTTGCAGAATGGTACTGCCAATTGTTTGTTTGTTTTCACAGTCTCCTTGGCAGCTTGTTGTGCATGTGTGTGCACGTATGTGTGAAAGATGAGGAAAAGGGAGAAGAACGGGAGAAGAGAGAGAAGGGAATAGTGTTTGGTATGATTTTTTTTCTAACTGTGCTTCAGCATCTGTGCCATTGACTGACTGGTCTAAGTCAGGATCTTGTGTGGCCTGTGCTCAAATGTCCTAAGCAGCTAGAGCTATCCCTGGGCTCAGAGTATTAAAAATATTCCTTTTGTGAGCTGAGCTCCTGAGTTGTGTGAATATCTGGATCCAAACACTGAAGAGGGCCATAAGAACTCTGTGCTGAGTTTGTTAGGCCTCATGCCAGGCTCACAGAGCAGGAGGGAAAGGGAAGGTGGTTTATGAAATAGTGTTTGCTGAGTCTTTTTCATTGTGGGAGCTTCCCAGCCCAGCTGTGTCATCACTTCTGTACTTCAGCTCTCCACACCTGCAGCAGCCCTTCCTCCCTGGACAGCAGTTCAGCCAGGTGTAAGCTGGTAGTTCCCATTTTAATTTTCCTTTTCTTTCAATAAAGAAACATGAAAGAAGATCTACCACAGGTTCTGGACAGGTTTTGTTTGGTTTTGCCTCACATAAGTTTTGGCACCTTGCATGAGTTCTGGATATCTCCTCAAGTCATTCCACTGTCCCCGAAGTGCCTAAGCCATGCTGAACAGATTTGAGAGCAGGCACTCTCCTCTCCCTTCTGCCCATCCATTTCCTTTCCCACTCTGAATGGGCAACATGGGACACAGACATCTTTGGCTCATGTAGGGATGTGAGAAGCATTGTCTCAGACACTTTCCCCCTCAGCACTCAAGCAGGTGTTGAAGCACTTAAACAAGACCAAAGAGAAGCGTGGTTCATTGTTTGGATTCTGAATATCTCTTTGTCTTTCCATGCCATTGTTTTATTTACATCACTGGTCTGTTCAATCTCAGGTAAATGACATTTTTTTGGTTTTTAACTAGTTTTTATTTACATAGAAAGGTTGGTGGCTAGACACTGCAGCCATTTTCCTTCACAGCTCCAAGACCTTACTGGTTTGTAAAAAAAAAAAAAAAAAAAGCAAAAGAAAAAAAAAAAACTGCTCCTGTCCAGTGCTAGATAGAAGTCTAGAAACGCAGCTGTTAATACAGCTCTAAAGCCAGGGACTGGTGTTTGGTGAGAACAAATTTCATACTTCCACTTCCAAAAGTCTGTGAATAATATTATCCTACAGTCTCCTCTGACTGCCAAGGTCTGTTCCACAATAAACTCCTGCATTGCTGTTCCCAGTCAAAGCTGGGGCAGAAATCTATGCAAGATGAATAGGAGAGGAAGTAAGGGTCAAAGGAAGGTATTTCAATTAAAATTTTCCCTTTTTAAAAACTAACCATTAAATAACTTGGGAGTTTTGTCTGTCCTAGGCTTAGGCCTCAGGGTGTTTGCTTAAGTTTTCCCTTACATTTTCAACCGATGCTTTAAAAAGGTTCAATAGATGCAAGTTGCTGGCCAAACGTTCAACCAGTTTGTGTCAATAATGGCTTCTTCTGCAAGTGCAGAAGATATTTTCATTAATATAACTGAGTGAAGAGGTCAAATTCGATTTGAAACAGGAAAGCTTGCTTACTCTATGCATAAAACCAGTAGAGATTAAATCATTAGTTCTAAAATTCAATAGGATAAAAGGTCTAGAGACAGTACAACAATAGTTACTACGTCTTCCTCCTTAACAAGTTAGTTTAAGAAATACATTAATACTTTCCCTTTCTTGCCATTCTTCATATACGGGTTACTCTATTAAGACAGTTTTAACTGGTTTTGTGCATTTCTTTTAAATCCTAAATCCCCTGCAAATAGAGCCTGACATACACTGCATTTAAAAGTGAGTTATGTGTTAGCCCAGTGTTTCAAGTATGTATTTTTATCAAGCACAACTATCCCTACCGACACCTCGGAAGACAGCACGAAATATCACCAATAGTTATCCTTGCTATACATCAGACTGCTTATCATTCTGAAGCAGTCTGCATATTGTTAGTGGTACATATAGTTTGGGGAACCTTATTCTCATGTAAATAAAAAAAATAATTTAGCATCTTCTAATAGAAATAT